GATAATTAATTCCCAATGGAGTTCTAAGATTCAGGTACCTCAGAGCGTGGCATGAATTGTATGGTTGTCACTTGTTGGTGTCACTTCAGACCATATGTCAACAATTTTATGCTCCTCTATATAATGCTTATATTATTTCTTCTCTGGAAATCTTGAGAAATAATGGAACCTTGAGGGAAGTGCATTAGGGGAACTTTTTCATTACTTCTTGAAACATATTTTAATCATATGTTTCATTTGTTAGGGTACTAGTTTTTGCATTGCTGGAATACGCTTGACAAAGGCAGATGTAATGTAATCTATATAACTGAAAATGGTGACTGCAGTAATGCTTCAACTAGTAGCAAATTTAAAATCTGGCATGTGCTGCTGAACATTTGTCTGTGTATGATAGAATAATGTTTGTATGTATGAATACTAACCAGAGCCAAAAGTTTAAAAAACTTGCCTTGTACCAGAGGCTGAATTTTCATTTGGTAAAATAAATTGATGTCTCTTTCTTTGATAGCTTTTTCTTCACCTTTTATTTTTTCACCACTTTTTAAACCTATAGATGTGGATAATGTGATCACTGTAACTGCGGAGATAATATTTTGATAACCTGGTTATTGCTTCTCACTTAGAGAATTATACATTGTAACTGATGCTTTATTTGTATATTAACTATCATTTGTATTTCCATTCAAAGCTTAATATTTTGAGTTTTGATAATTTGCAGTGGCCAAGAAGTTGGGCCCTTACTCTTGGAACTGCCACTTGTCACTGAGAAGGTGAGTCTCTTGCTTCCTTATCAATCAAATGCACACAATCACTATAAAGGACCTACTATTGATATTGAACAAGGACTGTCTGGCCATCTCATTGGGACTCGTTCTCGCTTGCTAAGTGAGGTAACAATCCTTTTTTTTTTTACTTCTGTTATGATTCCTTTCCTATATTATTTTTGCTGGTACTGTTAAAGAAGAATTCAGATGAGTGTTGTTTGACGACTATGAACATTAGATGCATGTACTACATTAGAAATTCAAATGAGGACTTTTTAAAGTGTGTTATAATTGATAATGAACTATACATCTTGCTTTTAGGCTGCAAAGCATTGGTTGCTTCATGACATGAGTATTACTATTTAAACTTTGATATTGTTTGAAGTTTCTGTTGTTTGGATGAAGCTTGTAATTTGTAATTAAGCACAAAGCTCCTCCTGTGTTTTTGTTTTGTAATGCGTCCTACACATCTCCATATCTTCATGCTGTGGGAACAACTAACTTATCTTAGTGTAGCCCATAGAGACAGTGACATTTATTTGGCAATTATAAGGTGTATTATCAGTTTAATTATTGATTTCAAAAGTTATCATGTTCCATGAAATCAATAATTTAAATTTGATGAAATATTATGGTTGTTCCATGCACGTGGGGCATTTTTCTTCCCATCGAACTTGTGGAAAACTGGATATTGACACAAAGGAACAACATGATGGAGGATGGAATTATATGCTTTAACATCAAAGGTTGACGGCCTTGGATCTCATGGGAATGATATGCTTATCATAGGAATGCAATTTAACCATGAATATACTTGCTCCCCATTTAATTTAATTCATTGAATAATCTAATTGCTCTGAAAATAGTAGTAAGTTCTAAAATCACCATCTGAATTCCTTTGAAAATAGCAAGCTCTAAAATCACCATGAAATTAATAGACAACTTTCAAGATTCAATTAACCAAATTGTTTGAAGGGGAGATGTCTTCCCTGTAATTTTGGGGAGCTCAGGTAATCCTACAGGTTGCAAACCATCTTAAAGGATAGTGTAGATATTACTGTGTGTTGCTACCACTTGTTTGGTTGATCATTGAACTGAGTTAATGCTTAATTTTTTCCTTCTTTGTTCTATTGAGGGTTTGGAATCCTAAATTAACAACACATGCATAGGTTGTGCTAAAAAAGTCAGGAAAGAGCTAGGAAAGTGGTTTTTTTTGATGAAATTGTGGAAGCAAACTAGGAAAAAAAAAAGTGGGTAGTTGGAAAAATTAGAATCTTGCAAATCATATTCTGTCAAAATGTCCTTTTCATAATTCCGAGTAAAAAAAGTGATTAGTGTTCAATGTAGAATCTTGCAAATTCCTCAAATTTAATACTTGAATGGTTGATTTGAAAGGTGCATGGATTTAAGATAGCCTAGCATCATCTCTGGTAACAGGAACAAAAGGTAAAAAAGATGTAAACAATGAAATTAAAGACCAGTGAAAAACTCAAGGCTTGCCTGTTTGGTGATGTTCTTTGCAAACTAAACGTTAATCATTCCTCCTAAGATTAGTTTGAAAAAAAAAAAACTTATACACATGTGGAAATGGATGTGTCTTTGCCATCGGTGTGCATCTCTGATTCAGCCATCATAGGACGAGAATCGATTGATGATCAGAGCAGGGAGGCAGATTTAGATTCATTATACCAGAAGTATACTGACAGGATGCGATGGTTTGATTTACTCAATCATGATAGAAAATAGCAATGCAATCAGGTAATTTGGACCCCAGTTTTGAATTGGTCATATATACCAGAAAAGTCATTATGTTATTTGGGTCATTATCATCTGATCATGGTTGTTTTTAACATAGCTGCCACTCTAGCACAATTTTAAATCCTACCCACAGAAAAAATTATAAAACCATATAATGAACTGAGTCTGAAAATCATAATGCTTCTTGGGCAGAGGTACATAATCATAGAATTGTACATTTTCCCTGTTGCTGTGTGTTTGCTTTCTTTCTTTTAGGTTCTGCATAATGCTTCTGTAGCAAGAAGCATATCTTGATGTTTCATTTTGATTCTGAATGCTGTGCAAAAAACAAAAAAAAGTTTAGCCCATAGAGACAGTGACATTTATTTGGCAATTATAAGGTGTATTATCAGTTTAATTATTGATTACAAAAGTTATCATGTTCCATGAAATCAATAATTTAAATTTGATGAAATATTATGGTTGTTCCATGCACGTGGGGCATTTTTCTTCCCATCGAACTTGTGGAAAACTGGATATTGACACAAAGGAACAACATGATGGAGGATGGAATTATATGCTTTAACATCAAAGGTTGACGGCCTTGGATCTCATGGGAATGATATGCTTATCATAGGAATGCAATTTAACCATGAATATACTTGCTCCCCATTTAATTTAATTCATTGAATAATCTAATTGCTCTGAAAATAGTAGTAAGTTCTAAAATCACCATCTGAATTCCTTTGAAAATAGCAAGCTCTAAAATCACCATGAAATTAATAGACAACTTTCAAGATTCAATTAACCAAATTGTTTGAAGGGGAGATGTCTTCCCTGTAATTTTGGGGAGCTCAGGTAATCCTGCAGGTTGCAAACCATCTTAAAGGATAGTGTAGATATTACTGTGTGTTGCTACCACTTGTTTGGTTGATCATTGAACTGAGTTAATGCTTAATTTTTTCCTTCTTTGTTCTATTGAGGGTTTGGAATCCTAAATTAACAACACATGCATAGGTTGTGCTAAAAAAGTCAGGAAAGAGCTAGGAAAGTGGTTTTTTTGATGAAATTGTGGAAGCAAACTAGGAAAAAAAAAATGGGTAGTTGGAAAAATTAGAATCTTGCAAATCATATTCTGTCAAAATGTCCTTTTCATAATTCCGAGTAAAAAAAAGTGATTAGTGTTCAATGTAGAATCTTGCAAATTCCTCAAATTTAATACTTGAATGGTTGATTTGAAAGGTGCATGGATTTAAGATAGCCTAGCATCATCTCTGGTAACAGGAACAAAAGGTAAAAAAGATGTAAACAATGAAATTAAAGACCAGTGAAAAACTCAAGGCTTGCCTGTTTGGTGATGTTCTTTGCAAACTAAACGTTAATCATTCCTCCTAAGATTAGTTTGAAAAAAAAAAAACTTATACACATGTGGAAATGGATGTGTCTTTGCCATCGGTGTGCATCTCTGATTTAGCCATCATAGGACGAGAATCGATTGATGATCAGAGCAGGGAGGCAGATTTAGATTCATTATACCAGTAGTATACTGACAGGATGCGATGGTTTGATTTACTCAATCATGACAGAAAATAGCAACGCAATCAGGTAATTTGGACCCCAGTTTTGAATTGGTCATATATACCAGAAAAGTCATTATGTTATTTGGGTCATTATCATCTGATCATGGTTGTTTTTAACATAGCTGCCACTCTAGCACAATTTTAAATCCTACCCACAGAAAAAATTATAAAACCATATAATGAACTGAGTCTGAAAATCATAATGCTTCTTGGGCAGAGGTACATAATCATAGAATTGTACATTTTCCCTGTTGCTGTGTGTTTGCTTTCTTTCTTTTAGGTTCTGCATAATGCTTCTGTAGCAAGAAGCATATCTTGATGTTTCATTTTGATTCTGAATGCTGTGCAAAAAACAAAAAAAATTGGTTTAAGTCTTGGATGCATTTGTTTAGTATTCAATTCTTTTTTGGTTTCAGGATTGGACACAGTATGATTGCTTTTTTAATGAAATTTTAGGTGGTTTTACCTTGTGTTTCCTTCATTGGATTTGAACTCTTATGAATATTTATGGTTTCTCCATCTGTTTAACAACTCCTCAAGCTTCCAAGGTTCCCTTTAACTTTCACATGTGTTTATGTGAGGATGAGGTAACCATTATTACAGCAAAAAAGAGAGAATATGATTGAACTACATGAATATTTTTCATGCATGTTTCTTTTTAAACAAAAGTATATATCTTCTGTGTCAAATTTTTGCAAATTCACTCTCCATCCCTCTATCAAAATTTATGTTTCTTTGGTTAATAGTGTGTTTAAATTGAAGTTATACATAATTAAGGAAAGAAAGATGACAATGAAATCTATTTGGTGGTTGGGATTGCATAAAAAATAAAGTAACACAATTTGGCATTATTTTTATTGTGTGCAAACAGTGGAAACAAATGACATGATAGCCAATTTTGATGCACCATTGTAGAAAACATTTATTAAAATTTTCTTGAAAATATCTTTACTCAACAAAATATTTAAGATAGTTCTTGGTTTGATAATGGACATTAGAAGCAAGATCAACTTTAAAATAGTTGAGCAAAATCATCTCATGTGTTATCTTTCTTTTGAAATAAGGTGTGCCATTTCTGGCATAACATCAAGGGAGAAATTCCCTTTTTACTAAACTTGGACAGATTCTGACCCTTTGTGTGTGGATATCATAAAATATCATTCAAAACATAATAATAGCTATTGATACCCTTTTCTCATTGTCTTTCCTTTGGCTTTGGCCTTGGTTGCCTTCACCTTGGGGTGGCCGTAGCTTGCCTCGACCTACTGATGGCCTTGGATTGCCTTGGCCTAGGGGTGGCCTTGGTTTCCTTAGACTTACCCTTGGTTCTAAGCCTTGTATGATTATATCTTAAATTTATTGCCTTTCAAGTCCAATGTCTAAGTTACTTGGGCTTTGGGGTTGGCCTTCATTGACTTGGCCTTGATGTCCATAGTTGTAATTATCTATGCCTTAGCCCTAATATTTGGTTGTAATTGTTGTCACAGTTATTTTTGGTAACTCTTTTATTTATTTTGAGAAACAGCAAAGACAATGGGAGAGAAGTGGTGGTGGTTCAATGCCCCAGGATGGATGCTTGTGGCTAGGTATTGGTCTCCTCTTTTTATTATTGTTTTTATTAGGAGTTTTGTTTTAACGAAAAGATTTATGTACTTTTAATGTGAAGTTGGGTCGAATACATGTGTGCAAGGATGGACTTGTGGAATAAATTTATTGAGCAATAAATCAAATATTGTAGAGTAGCTCCTTTATCTTTTGGATCATCTAGTTTGTTTATTTTGCTTTTAGTTCAAATATATAGTGTTTATCTGTAAGGATGTCAGCAAGTTCTAAAATCCAAATTTTTACTTAGTGCCTTATGGATATCAAAGATCTGAATTCTTTTCAACACTATTTATTCATTCAGTTGTCATGTAGCAGTTGATTATTTTACAAAATTTTTTATCATGAGAAGTTGATCATTTCACAATCTCTCCTTTTACACTAGTGTGTGCATTTTTCCATATAGGGTAGCAACTTTGATGGTGATTTTTTTGTTTTTTTTTTCAATTGGCAGGTGATTATTTATATTTATGAAGATAATTATATTAAATTGAACAATCATAATTTATAAATAATAGAGCAAAAATAATCAATCTTTGTCTTTGGCATAAATTGACTCCCTAACCTTGTAATTAGAAGTATGTAAAAATTGTCAACTAAGCTAGTCCACTTGATTAACTATTCCACTGGTGTTATTTATATTTTTTTTGGGTAGGCATGGGACAGCATCTTAAGCTTGCTTTCATTGCAGGTACCTGGATCATAATCAATTTACTGGGAGAATCCCGGATGCATTCTATAAGCACACTTTCTTGAAAGAAATGTGAGTTTCTGTCTTCAATCACTACAAGCAAATTACAGTTACCCAACACTAGGTCAAATGCTAACTGATTAAATGTTGTCACAGGTATATTGAAGGAAATGCTTTCCAGCCAGGTGTGAACCCTATTGGCATCCACAATGTCCAGCACTATGTCAATGGTCAGGTTGTCATCAAATCAACACGGGATACTCTAGAATCTTGTAGTAAAGCACAAACGGACTCTAGTTCTTGTTTTAGTCAAAGCTTCCACATATTATTTACTCGTAGAATTGTTTCTTTTTGTTCTTGCTAAAACTAGGGTGTTTCAGTTTGAATTGGAATGTAGTTCTATAAATAGGATGTATATAATGTACACTAGTGTTTTGGGAAATTTAAGAAATTTTGGAAGTAGGTTGTTTGACAGTTTAGAAAGGTGTTGTTGGATTCTTTGGTTGTCATTATTTTATGTGAACAATGTCTGGTGGAACACCAGCTGGGGATGTCTGGTTGTTTTAGTTTGAATTGGAACAATGTCTGGTTGTTTGACAGAAATTTAATAAATCGAATGTTAATGAATTATGTATTGTGTCAAATGTTAATGATTCAGTTAATTTGAGTGATGCTTTAAAATTATAGGTTTATTATGGATTGAATAAATTATTAGGAATTATAAGTGTATTGTTTTCCTGCTTTGGCGACCAATTTATTAGTCGCGACAAATAAATAATTTTTTTTCACAAAAAATGACAATTGCCGACCAAGAGTTTTGGTCGCAAAAAATACATCTATTGCCGACCAAAATAGCTTTTGGTCGTAGAAACTCACTTTTGCCGACCAAAAGTTTTGGTCGCGAAAAGTAACAAATGGCGACCAAAACCTTTTTTGGTCGTGGAATGTCACAATTGGCGACCAAACTTTTTGGTCGCGGAATGTCACGATTGGCGACCAAAAGTTTTGGTCGCGGAATGTCATAATTGGCGACCAAACTTTTTGGTCGTTGAATGTGATAATTGGCGACCAAACTTTTTGGTCAGGAAAATATCACTTTTCGCGACCAAAGTGTTTTAGCGACTAAATGAATTAGTCGCGGTAATGATATATTTCGCGACCAAAAATTTAGTCGGCAAATCCGACTTTTGCCGACCAACCAAAATTTTGGTCGCGAATTACATTTGCCGACCCTCAATTGGCGACCAAAGTAGCGACCAAAAAATTTGGTCGCGGATAACTTTTGCCGACCAAAAATAGACTTTTAGCGATCAATTTTTTTGTTGCCAAAAGTGTTAATTCTTGTAGTGTTAGTTGAGGTATAGGGATGACGGTGGGATGTAGTGGTGGTGGGGGAAGGCAGTGGAGGGGTGGTGGTAATATGGTGGTGGTAGGGGTCGTAATTGTTGGACAATCTTCACTGTATTTAAGTAGATTAAATTCTGTTGTGTATTAAACAACAACTAGAATATAAAGAAATAAAGGAAAGGAGAGAATTTATTTGATTATAAAAATCAAACTAGAAATAAAACAAAATAAATAAAATCAGATTTTATTTTGTTACAAAAACAAAATTAAAATCTGAAATAAATAAATAAATAAATAAAACAGAATAATAAATTAAACAATTTACTTGATTAATTTCTTTGAATAATTATCTGATCAAGTCCAGTGTTTGACACTGTGTCCTTAAGACAAATTCGTCCTTTCCACGGTGCTTTCAATATTTGGACGTCTATCTCCCAGGATAAAATGATCTACTACAAACAATAGCAGCACTACAAATTGTTTGCCTAACGAACACACTAAATGTTTATACTCTCTCACAGAAGAAAATAATACAGCAATATGAAAAGAATATTTGCAGAATTATGAAGGATGAAATTATTAGAGTTACAAAATCCAAATGAGGGCTGTCCCATTTATAGATGGATTGGTGGCTGCAGATTTTGAATTAAACAGGTGCAAACCTATTTGAACAGGTACGAAACCTATTTGGTTTTGAATTTAAACAAATTTGAATCTGTTGGGTTCACAATTCAAACAGATAACAAAAAGGAGAAGGGCCCTATTTGGGTGTACAGTAAAACCGGACCAGTTTATTTTCGATTTAATTTGAATTCTAGATTTTATTTTACTAAAAATAAAATTAAATTCAAATATTTTTAGCCCAAAAAGATTAGTATTGGGCCGAACAAGCCTAACCTAACCACACACCACGCACCCAGCCCAGCCTAGCCCGCCCTACCAAACGGATGGCGGCGCGCGCGTGTGGTGATTTTTGGGTCCAATGGGTCTAGCCCATTTTGCTCATAACCTCTCCCTCTAAAACACTTGGGTACCCCTTGGGACACACCCCAAGTACCAAACCTATGCCTTATAAACCCATTCAAAACTTCTCACCAAATCAATGTGGGACAAGCCTTATTCAATACCTTTAAGGATTTTTCCACCAAAACTCCATTTCCATGGAGCATACTTTGGCTTCAATTTTCCACTCATTCGATAATGGTCTTGAGCAACCAAATATACCATGTGAATCACAACGTGGCATAGAACGCGTTGCCACTTTGACCCGTGAAAATCGACGCACGGGGCCCACCTAAAAAATAGACTAAACTTAGGAAAAAATTCTGGTTTTACCCAGAATTTTATAACCATTTCCAACAATCCCCCACATGAATGAAATTTGATGACAACGGAAATGCAACAATATGCAGATTTTATCGAAAGAGTATAAGTCGAAAATATCTTGCATTAGGATAGGTAACTTTCGGCCTTGAACCTTCCGTAGTAATAACCTATCAGACTTACTGCTAATCAATGGGCGCGATGCCTTGAATTGTTCAGCCGTTTGTGTAAGCCAAGACAATAGATTTCACACAAAATATCTTCTAACACATCGTGGTTCTCACTGCTGTGTTCATTTTGACCTTGAACGCTCCTGGTTTTCATGAATGTTTCTAGATAATTTAGCCTTTTCATTCTCATAGAACCGCCCCCAATTCGACATTCATATAGGTGATTCTTATTGTGAGTATCTCCTTATACTCGTCTTGATTTTATGCCTTAATCAAGATATAAGTAATCATTAAAAGCAAAGCTTATCCTTATACCCTTTCCTACCATATAAAATTTGCAATTCATCTGAAGTGGGCCCTTCAGCACAATAAATATTTTCTTACTTTCCAATTTCCCAATAGGCAATAACATAGCACATAAATTCGAGGAATGGCGCAAATGACGTTCCATATAGTGGTAAACCCAGCGTCATAAACTTTGACGGTCTTTCATTCTTCCCTTCATGATCACCAAAACTCATGGTACATGTTCAAGAGAAATCAGAAAAACTAAGTATAAACATTGGACATGGAGAGAGAATAACCTTCCAGCCGTTCTTTCCATACAGCACTCTTCAATTGTGAAACACTATCAGCATTTACTCCTACTGACAGTGATGAATTGCATTACTCATATATATATAGTGTTGTGGGTTATCATGAAAAATTAGATTTTATTATTTTGTCCAAAAAAGATAACTTACTTGAAGAACAATCATAATTTAAAAATGAAAAGAAAAGAAGATGGTATTAACTGATAGGAACAACGGCGTGCAAATAAAACTACATATTCAGGCATTTGACAAAAAAAATTAATTAAAAATACCAGACAGTAAAAATTGTTAGGCTGACGCTGTCAAACAAAGCAAAAATGACACCCCCACAAAAATTACTACTTTTTTGATAATTATTTACGCCATGTAATTTCCCCTTCAATATATATATATATATATATAAATGTAGTACAGCAAATCATAGTGAATGCGACCGTCCTGATGCTGTCAAACAATTTAATTGTTAGGCTGCAAAAGCCACCAATTTATACTGAGGCATAAATAAATACATCCATATAGTTTATTTATTTATATATATTTTTCACTGATTCTATTCTAGTCCCAATAATTATAATTTGAACACAAAAAAAAAAAAACTCACAACTTTGAGTCAGTTTTAATGTTGATCTACATCCAAGTTAATTAGTAAAAAGATGACCCCAAAAGGAATGTATCATGCACATTAAGGGCAAAATGAGCACTACTTTTGCCTTGGACCCACCAAATCCAAATGGGTTATCCATTTTCTAAATGAATAAGCCCATCATCCTCTTCCCTCACCAACCAAACACAACCTAAAGAAAACAATTTTAAAATATTACCCTGCCACCGCCACCACTTGCCATCCGCCACCCACCTGCCACCACCATCCACCACTCGCTACCATCACCACCACCACCCACTTGTTGCCACCCACCACCCAAACCCATTAGTAAGCATCGCATGATCAAATTTTTCATGCCATTGCTTAGGTGCTTGTTTTAATCCATAAAGGGATTTTACAAGTCGACAAACTTTCTTTTCTAGCCCTGATACTACAAACCCTTCGGGTTGCTCCATATAAATCTCTTCATTTAGATCACCGTTTAAGAAAGCTGTCTTAACATCCATTTGATGTGTTTCTAAATTAAACAACGCTGCTATAGCAATAAGCATGCGAATGGATGTTATTCTTGCCATAGGAGAATATGTGTCAAAATAGTCTAAACCTTCCTTTTGTCTGTAACCTTTAACTACAAGTCTTGCTTTATACTTGTCTATTGAACTATCTGCTTTTATTTTTCTCTTGAATATCTATTTATATCCAAGAGGTTTAGAACCTGGTAGAAGATCCACCAATTCCCAAGTATGATTTTGCATAATGGATTCAATTTCATTATTAACAGCCTCTTTCCACAAAGGTGCTTCAGGACCTGTCATTGCTGCCTTAAAGCTTTGAGGTTCATTTTCTAACAGGTATGTCAGAAAATCTGGACCAAAGGATTTTGATATTCTCGCTTTCTTACTTCATCTTGGTTCATCATCAGTTAAATCCTGTTAGTCAAGACCATTACAAGTCTCTTGTGTTTGATTGTCATTAGTCTCTTAACTTTGTGTACAATCATAAGTTCTTTTCTGTGAACTTAATTCCTGTCCTTTCTTGTAAGGAAAGACATGTTCAAAAAACACAATATTCCTTGACTCTATAATAGTGTTCACATTTATATCAGGTATTTCTGATTTATAAGTCAGTAACCGATATGCACTATTATTCTGAGCATAACCAGTAAACCGATATGCACTACCAAAAAGATTCTGTCTTAAGATTGTTGGACAGTCTTCACTGTATTTAAGTAGATTAAATTCTGTTGTGTATTAAACAACGACTAGAATATAAAGAAATAAAGGAAATGAGAGAATTTATTTGATTATAAAAATCAAAGAAATAAAAC